ATGAGTGAAAGGCATACACATGCTGTCTATACTATCTCTACAACTTTTCTGTAACTCTAAAATCATTCCAAAATAAAATTTAAAAGCAAACAAAAAGCATAGACAGGGCTGGGGATTTAGCTCAGCGGCAAAGCGCCTGCCTGGCAAGCGCAAGGTCGTGAGTTCGGTTCCCGGTACCGGAGAAAAACCAAAAAAAGCAAAAAAACAAACAAACAAAAAAAAAAATAACAAATTGCTTATATAAAGTAATATTTACAACTTTTTATTAACACTTTTTTCTACATTTGAACTTATTCTAATGTAAAGATATAAAATTTGGGGATGTTTTATTGGCTTTGAGATGACATTTCTTCCTTTTCACCTAAATCCCTCTTCTCCATCCATTTTGGATTCTTGGCCTAGGTCTGTTCCCCATGTCTTTGTTGGTTCCCTTTAGGAAATGTTCTCTCTCGTACAGGAATGAGACTGAACAACACCTTCCCTGCGCTCTAACTAGAGAGGCAAGGGAGTGAACTGGTTAAGAAGATGAAAGCTAAAGCCAGGCAGGCTCCTGGTTCCAGTCCAGGCTCTGTGGTTTGCTAGGTGTGAGGCCTTGAGCAGTTCACTCACCTTCCCGCACCTCAGGTTTCTCCCGTGTGTGTTAACCACAGGGTGAGTCCTATACAAGTACCTTGAAATCCCTAAAATTCCAATGTATGTATGTGCTAATTTAAGGAAATAAAGGTCACTTATTCATTTGTTCTGTGCCTTAAGTACTCTCTTTTTGAGTTAAGGTCTGACTATTTAGCCCAGGCTGGCCTCTATGTTAGCATGTAGCCCAGCTAGCCTTGAACTTGCCATCCCTCTGCAGCAGCCACTCACCTGGGACTGTAGGCTTGTGCTACGCATCTAGCTGTTTTATGTATTTACTATGTTCCAGATCCTTTTTCAGTATGGAAGTTTAGAGGTAAACATAGAACTGAGGTCTTAATCTAGTGGGAGATACCAGATACATAAATAATGATAATAGAACATACAAAGTGATAAGTGCCATTAAATAGTATATTAAAATCCGATTAAGAATTTACAGAAGAGAACACTTGCTTCAAAGACAGGCCTCCTGAAGAGGACCAGGGAAGTTTGTGAAGGTAATAAATGACAAGAGAATGAGAAAAAGAAGTAGATTTTGTCAAAGGGTGTGTGTGTGCATGTGACCAGTGATGAGAGTGAGTGTCCTGGGAAGTCAGAGATGGGAAATAACTAATTGTGGACAAGGAGCTATCAGGACACACTAGAGAGATGGAGTAGACCCAGGTTTATATTGGATGTTCAGGATGGAGAGTTCAGAATCAAGGCTTTGGGTGGGGGATGCTCACGATATGTATCTTAGGAATGCTTCCAGCTGCCTGTAAGAGAAAACCAAGAGTGGCTGAAGGAGGCATAAGTTTGCTTTGTTTTTTAAACAAGTCTAGAAGGAGTTCTCAATTGTTTCAATACATTAATGAAGTCCTTATGCATCCAAATCTTTCTTGTCTTCCTGTCCTTCTGTCCTTGGCGATCAGCTTTCGGTCCTCTCATTTGTTGCCTTTTAATAGACAACATGTGTGACCTCAGACATTACATCTGCACTATAATCAGAAAGAAGGCAGAGTGGGCAGTGCCTCTTCTTGGCTGTCCCTTATAAAGAAAGCAGCATGGCCAGTGACCATTCCTTACAAAGAATTACAGCTTTCCAAGAAGCACCCTTACAGTACTTCTATTACTGCCTTGTTGAGCTACATAGCCATCCCCAGCTGCCAGGGCAATTAGGACAGTGAAATACGTTTTTCCCAACAAACAGAAGAGGATTTAGAATGGTTATTGAATTAGCCACCCTGCAGAGGAATGCTTCTGAAAAGCTATACAGTATTTGATATAGATGGGAAATAAGCAAGGAATGTCCAAGATCTGTCCATATGTGTGGTCTTTATACCGATTAAGATCTTGAATTAATTTATTTACCTCCTAAGACATTTGTTCCTTGTGTTAAGTGTATGTTAATGTAGGTTATAATTGTCATAAATATTCCGTCAAAATTACTTCGTATAACCTTGTCTGTCGTAAAAAGTGGAGCTAAAGTGAGTATATATTTTACTTTTGTCCCCTTATAATTACACACTTTTTCTCACTCTTTTATTGTTACGCTTTTACATTATCATCATTTAGTATATTCTTCTGAAAATTGAATTCACCTGCTTAGTC